GGATGGGTGGATGGTTGAGCCGATAGATGGATAGAGGGATGGATGGGTGGATGGGTGGATGGTTGGCAGACATATGCACATGAGACTGCTCAGCCTGTGTACCTAGTGTGGAGACCAATGTACAGGCCCTGCCTGAACAGCGCCTGTGCTCTGTGTCCCCACAGGGGAGCCCGTGAGTGAGGCAGGGATGAGTCACAGCAGCCAGGGAAAAGCGGCTGCGGTGCCATGGCCCCCATTTCTCCAAAACAGAGATGGGACCAACACCCCCAGATGGTGGCTGCGGTCTCTTTCCTCTGGGCACAAATGTAGGGCAGGCCTCTGGTGAGCCTGAGTGTGGCCACCGCCTACAGTGGGTTGCCCAGCTCCTCCCTGTCCAAATGCTGGTTGAGAAACCTCACTGGCCCTCAGGCCACTGGGCTGCTGTGGCTGCTTCTGGAGCTGCCACTTGAACCATGGGGCAAAGCGGAGCCCTGAAGCCCTGCGAGGAGAAGGCTGACAGTTTCACTCTGATGTCAGGGCCGAACCCAGGCCAGCTTGCAGCTCTCCTAGCTGCTGACTGTGCTGCCGCCAGCCTTCTGCTGAACAGGCCGCTCAGAGAGCACCAACAACTTGCTGAAGATCACACAGCAGGTGAAGACTGGCGGGGGGAGGATGTGAAAGGGACCCCTCTCCACTGCCGTCTGCCAAATGTGGTTAAGGGATGGTGAATCGCACAGGGCCCGGGACCATGCTCTGACTGACCCACACTGGGGTTGAACTGGTGGACGTGTATTTACCTGAACCAAATGTGAGGAGGGGGAAAAGGGGGTCTCTGGAGGACCACACCCTGCTCAGCCGAGCCTGGCTGACACCTGGGTGACCCTGACCCTGCAGTGGCAGGCTGGAGACAGGCCCAGATGGGGAATTGTGCTGCAGAGCCGTGAGCCAGGGTTCTCCCATCACAGACCACAGCAAACAAAGCCAGGCCAAAACACAGCCACAGACCCCAAGCAGAGTTTCAGGCCCCCAGGTAGTATAGTCACAATCAGGAACCCCCTGGTGCCGGGCACTTGGTGTCTTGTAGGCAAAACAAGAGACCACGTGACTTTACCTCCTCTTTGCACCTGACTGGAGCCCCCAGCCCCCTCCTCCACAGGAACACTACCCCCGGGAAAGCTAGGCCCAGTGCTGAAAGTCAAGTTGCCAAAACAAACTCTTTTGTCTTTCTTAGCTTTTTGTGTTTAAATAATAATCTCAAAATGAAGTCATTGTCCTCCCCTGTGGTTAAGAGGTGGCAGTCTGGAGGGGCCCTGGGGCTCATGTCACTGGGGTCGCACTCCAGGGCAGGCCCTGCCCTTTTCCGGCCCTCTGCTCATCAAAACTTAGCCATGGGGGTCTCACCTGCTCTCTGAGTCAGTTTCCCTACTCCTCTCTCTGCTTTCCCCACCCCTGCATGTAGCCCTGGGGTACAAACTCAGGTGTGCAGTGAGCTGAGAAAGGAGCGCCCCCGAGTGCCCTGTGCAGCTGATCACAAGCTGTCGGCTTCTCCCACCCTGGCTGGAAAGAGTCCCAGGGAGCCAGGCGGGCCCGTGGAGGGAGAAGAGCCGTGTGGACCCCTGCAATGGGGCCGAGTCGGACACCTGCTGAGGGCAGTGATCACACGCTGACTCTCAGAGCAGGGAGCAGGAACGGACATAGAGAAATGCTCGCCGAAGCTCCAGCCGGAGTGGGCATTCATGGTGGGAGGGCCCCACATGGCACTGTGAGGTGGGCACTAAGGCCACCTCCATTTTACAGGCAGAAAACTACGGCTGGCTATGTGGTTAAGCAAGACCTGCGCCAGGGTGCCATCGTCACGCGAAGATGAAGGATGCAGCGCCGGAGCTGACCCTCACGGTAGGTGTGGGGACAAGCCCACCCCCCAAGGTCAGCACTCACTGGGGAAGAAGGGAGGGAGGGCGCCCTCAGCCCTGAAGCCTGAGCCCAAGATAAGGCAGCACATAGGCAGCTGCACGGGCACAAAAAGGTGCCCATAAACACAGACTCACAGTCACAGTGTCACGGGCACACACACACACACACACACACACACACACACACGCAGGGAAACACGAAGACACGCAGTCTCAGAGAGGCACACAGACACAGCAAATGTACGCAGCTGTGCATCCACACACCCACATATATGTACACACCAACAAAGGCATTCGCGCAAACAGACACACACAGACACACACAGACACACACACACACACACACACACACACACACACACACACACACACACACACACACACACACACACACGCTGGTGCTGGCAGGCAGTGACGGCTCCAGCGAGCCAAGTAGGGGCTGATGAGAGTGCTTTCTGGAAACACAGGAAGGCCACTGTTTTATTATTAGCTGCCAGTCTCTGCACAAAGTCTCAGATGGGTAGATAAAGTTGGGGTGCTGGGCAGGGTGTCTGGTTGCCTCTGGAGAGTGGAGGGCCAGCCTCAAGCCGCCAGGGTGCTAAGCTCTGCAAACGGGGCCCAGGCCAGCCAGCTGCTGCTCTCTAACCCCTCCGAGGCACAGGACAAGCACAGGCTTAGAGCCGGATCCCAGCTCAGGATGGGACAGGCAGAGGCAGCCTGGGGAGCTGCAACTCCTCCCAGAGCCCCACAGCCCAGAACTAGGATGGTCTGGAGGTGCCTGGCACCCCAACCCCTGATGGCACAGTCACCCACCCACAGCCCTCCTCCTGCCTCCCCCAGCAGTGGGAAGGCTGAGCACCCCACTCTGCTCTTGCGCTGGACTCCTGCCCACCCCCGACAGGGAGGGACGTTTGCAGGCCTACAGCCTGATGGAGGGGCTGAGTGTGGCTCCAAGCACTGGAACAGAGCTGGTGCCACCAAGGGACCGGGCTCTGAATTGGATTCAGTTCAGTTTCACATGAAGTAGCCACATAGGCTGGTGGCTGCCACAGCAGGTGGGACAGCTCTGACACACAGCAGCGCATGGGCCTGGAATGCCAGCTCTGCCACTGATGGCTGTGGCCCTCTCATGCCCACAGGAGCACACTCCACAGTGGCCGAGGCGAGGGCATGAGTGCCTGGGCTCTGCTCACCAGCTGGCTGCAGATGGGCCTCAGTTTCCTCATCAAAGGGAACACGTACAGCATTCACCAGGAAATCCTGAGGAGCAGGTGGGCTCCATTTGCACAGGTCCCGTTTCACCTCATCATTCCCAAAGAAATCATTGAGAAGTAGGAGGAAAATGTTCATGAGCTTCCAGTAAACTTCCTTCCCCATTGGACAAGCAGGAGAAAAGGCCTCTGCCCTGCTCTGCCCAGGAAGTTTAGTGGGAAAGGAGGAGTTCCTGCGGGGTACTGGGATGGGAAGCTGGCCAGGGGCCAGGAGTCCATCAGATTCGCCTTACGGTCTGGTGTTCTTCCCTGAGAGAAAGACCTGGCACCTCCCCACCGACTGACCGGTAGGAATTTCCTTCATCAGCCTCTACAGGGGACGGGGACTCACAGTGGTCACGTGTCTTGCCAAGTCACGAGTTGCGGGGCTGGTTTTCACACCCAGGTCTGCTTGACTGTCAGATAGCGTGAGGATGCCTGGTCAGCCCGGCCTGAAGTTCCCCAGGTGCAGCGACCAGGCCAGGCTCGCGCCAAGACACGTGACACATGCCACCGTAAACCAGGAGGACCTTTGTTGTTTGTTTTAAAGAAACAGCGTAGAACCTTCCCACCCATACACACAGGGCCCCTCCTCCTAAACCCCTTCTGAGGTGGGACAACACTGCCTCTAGTGGCCGTGGTTGCCATCAGCAACCTTCAGGGTTTTCTTTGGCAATCAGTAATGCTCACTTGTGAGCTTATTGCCATACCTTGCTCGTAACCACAGCACTGACCAGATGGACCTGCTTGGACCTGTGAGTTGGCTGAACTATGACAACCAAGTCTTTTGAGTATACTATTCAAGAAGGACCTGCAGGAGTTCACACTGTGGAGGTGTTGTTCCTTGTGGTCCCCCTTACTCCACAATACCATCTTTATTTGGAAGCAAAAGAGAAATTTTCTTCAGATCTCAAATTTAGGAAAGCCTGAATTTCTGGAAGCAGCTTGTTTATATCATTTGGAATCAGCCTTGAGACTGGCTATTTTCCCTTTTTGATTTGGCCACTGGGAAGCTCATTATTTAGTTTACTTCCAGCATCATAACAAGTGTTTTATTTTGACCTTTGCACTCTTTTTATCTGTACTTTCATTTCCCCCTCCCTTTCCCTATTTACCTTCTTTATATTTTCTTGTTCATATACTTTTCTTTCTTTTTTGGTACCGAGGATTGAACTCAAAACCTTGCACTTGCAAAGCAGGTGGCGGAACCATTGAGCTAAATCCCCGGCTTGTTCATACACTTTAAAAAAAATCACCTCTGTGGGGAAGAGATCAAATAAGCAGTATTTCAGTGGATTCTGTAAAAATTTAGAAGAGGGCGCAGTTATGAGAGCCTGAATGCATTTTTAAAAACTAAAACGAAAACAGCTCTGCAAAGGTAGGGAGTTCAGGAAATGAGTTGGTGGAGGTTTGTGTCACGTTCAGCAGTGATGCTGCCTGGGCATCTTCTGGAGCACATGCGCTGCGCTCAGTGCAGGGAGCCAGGGTGAAGCAGCCCAGGGCAGTGACTGTGGGAGGCTGATGACCTCACGGCTCCTCAGAGGCACTGGATGAAGGCCCGAAGGTGAGGGGCAGCAGCGAGGTCCTGGGACAGATGGGGCCGCTTCCCTGAGGAAGGAGCCCTGACTGAGATCCGAGGACAGAGTTGGCTCAAGGACAGGAGGCCTGTGCCAGCAGGATGAGCTCCCAAAGCCTGCGCAGTCCGTGGAGCCCGGGCTGAGGTGTAAAGTGGCGAAGGTGGGCAGGGCGGGCCAAACATAAGCCGTTACCCAAAGGAAACCCAGGGAAACGGTAACCTCAACCTGACAGTGGTGTGTGCTCATATGGCCAACAGGTTGAAAAGTTCAAGATGCTCAAGCTCCCTGGGCAGCGAGGGGTGCAGGCAGTGTGCCAGAGCCAGACCCTTCTTCCTGTGGCTGGTGGGATCCACAGATGGGCCAGGCTAGCAGAGGCGGCAGGAGGAGGATGCCCCGGGGTTCACCATCTGCTCGCTGGCCCGGACCCCAGCTTCTCCCCACATTGCCAGCCTTTCGGAGCCTTTGTTAGGAGCTCTGTCCTGGCCTGCAGCCTGCCCGGCACCTTGTGGGAGCTCGCTAGACGTGTTTGCAGCCCAGGGCCAGGGACAGCGGGGCCACTGAGGGTGTGAGGGGCGGGGAGGAGCTAGTGCCACACACAGTATGCTCTCTGCTGTCACGCACTCCCCCAAGAAGGCATTGAGGGGTTTTTTCTTTATTTTCGAAGTTGAGGGAATTTCTGTGTTTTTTGGTTTTAAGGGCTTCATCGAGGGTGCCAGTGATATGCAAAGAACCACACAGATTCGAAGTGTATGATTTAATTTTTAGCCTACATCACGGAGGTACCATTGATCACACACTGGAGATAATAAACACACACTCTTCACCTCCAAGAGTCTCTTGTGGTCCATTGCAATCCCTTCCACCTGACCTCTTACACTCCAAGTTTTGGCAACTACTGACTTGCTTTCTTTTGGGGGTTGGTCAGAGCCCCTCCCCTCCCCCTCCCCTCCCCACAGGGCTGAGGACTGAGGCCAGGGCCTGTGCTGGTTAAGATCTGTACTGCTGAGCTGCACTCCTGCCCTAGCTTTACCTGCTCACCTGGCTTCCTTCACTCAGCATGTTCACTCTGAGACTCATCCGTATCCTGCTGTGCACAGCAGGTCTTATCACTGCTCTGCTTTGAAGGGTTTGGAGCCTGTGGGAGCTAAGTAATTTGCAAATGCCTCCTTGGCCTGCAATGATAGGGACAGAAATGAATCCTGCTGTGCGGGGCCACCCCGTGCCCACCTCTTTCTATTGGTCACATCACTGCCTCTAAGAGTAGGCTTGGTATGAATCCTGCTTCTCTGGGGTCACTGCTGCCACTGGGGTTCTGCCTGGCAGAGCAGCAGCAAGCCGGGCCCTGCTGGTCCACCTTCGTTGTCTCCCTGCCCTCTGTGGGAGGATTAGTGCTAATCCTGGGAGACGCGGCCAGTTCTCTTTCCCGCCCTCTTCTCTGTCTCTCCCTCCTTCATTTATTCAGCCCTTTCCATCATTTACCGCAACCTCAGGCCTGGAGGGGAGACAGACCCAGTCCAGGAACACTGTGCACAACTGTGCATGTTGTTTCCTACCTGAGGACCCTAGTCAGAGGAATGGAGGTCCTGTTCACCGAACCTTCTCCTAGATGTTGGGGGACTGCAGTCTCCTGGAGAAACATTTTTCTGTGTGGTGGTCATGATTCTGCCTTGGTCCTCAGGGAGTCTGTGAAGACCCCAGCACAGGGCTGGAGGAAAGTGGGTACATGGTGAATGGTTAGGAGTGACAGAAGTAAGCGTGGGGTACTGGGACCGCCCAGAGATCAGCAAAGATGCTCTGGGGACTTGAGCCTGGGATCCTTAGTCTCTACTCCTTGGCCTGGGGCATGGGCCTGGCTGCCCCTGTCTTTCCAGGGTGTGGGATGCACTCAGCACATGAAGGTCCTCAGAGCCGGAGGAGATACTGGGTCCCCCGAGCCAGGGGAAGGGCCCTGCCACACTGGCTAGGCCTGGTTGACACCACCTGTCGAACCCCCTGCCCTGGTGCCCTGCCTGATGGGGTCAAACAATGAAACCAGATCTCATTACCAAGAAGGGGAACGGCGTGCCTCTCTGCCACCATACCCCAGCCGCAGGCTGCCACTCTGACACCTGGCTCACCTCCTCTGGCATCCTGCCCCTGAGGCAGGGCCAAGCCAGCCAGGCAGGGCTGGGCACGGTAGCATGCATAATGGCTGGGTTCCCTGGGACTGGCAGCCACGGATGGGGGAGGCACCCAGGAAGCTCTAGTCCACAGGTTATCTGTGTGGCTGGCGCTCTGCCTCTAGGGGACAGGCGCATGGCTTTCTTTCCATCTGCAGTCTGCCCGGCCCAGGCTCAGCCAAGCATGGGCAGGAATCTCAGCCATGCTGTCCCTTCAGGCTCAAGGCTCCCAGTGGCTTCTGCACCCACTGCTCTATGTAGCAGCTGTTGGTGTCATCCCAGAAGACCTTAAGATATAGAAACCTCAGAATATACAGAGAGTAGCCTTCATGGCTTCTAACATGGTCCTGAGATCATCTATTTTTTTGTCAGTTTCTGTTTTAGAGTCTCTAATCATGACTTTCATTTTGCTCACCATCTCTATGGTTATCTGGGAAATTATTTCTGTTTTGAATTTTTCTAGAGCCTGATTGATCTGTTTTGTTACTTCCTATGCTTTGAGTTCAGGGTGTCCTGGTGGTTCATTATTAGACTTTTCATCCTCATTTGCCCTACTGTTTGGCACTAGTGAACTGGAAGTGTGTCTGTGTGTCTTGCTTAAGTGTTTTCTCATTTTTATTTTTGTTGTTGGGTTGTCCTTGGTTTAATTTCTGGGTTATTAGTTAAATCTTCCTGATATAGTTGCGCTTTAGCTTTTGGGTCTCTAATGACTCATAGACATTCTCATTTTCATAATATCAGAGAAAACAACTCATTAAATCAATCACAATCCTTTATCCAATTGATACAATCAGCAACACAATAGGATCAAGCACAACTTGCAAACTGACCACTTGTGGTAGTCATTAATCTATCACCTTTAAACCGTGTGAATTAAATTAATATCAAGAGGCAGCCCAAAATATGTTTGCAGTGAATACTCTTTTCAATATAGCATCTTTACCATTTAGGATGGGGGCTTAGACAGAGTTAGGACAAGAGGAGTAGATAAGTAAAAGAATTGGAGAAGGTTTCAAGTGAAGCCAGAGGACACAGAATGACCACACAATCTTTAGGAAACTGTTAAACTCAAAAGGGATAGACAGAGTACAAGTATAAAGGACAAGAATATATCCCCTTAACAGCAATAGGGTCTCACTTTCCCTTGAAACTATTGACTCTTGAGTGAGGTAGAATGACAGAAGAAAAGGACATAAAGAAAAAGGAAAAAATGATAAAAGAAGAAATCTGGGGAGAACCACGCCTGCTCCCGACTCAGCTGCCATCACTCAAG